GACCCATCTGTAACTCCCAGAGGGAGGGGGTGAAAGCCTGGTCTACTAGACCAGGATGAGATCCCATTCCTGCCACTGTTTTATCACAAGGCCACTCTATTGCATGCATCCTACCTGATGGACAAGATTTGTCTATGCTGGTGTCATTAAAACATGTATCTTATTGTCTTTAAGGTTTTCTCCTACAGTCCTAGTGGCCTGAATGCACCCCCTGGCTGCAGCTGCCACGTAATGATTGCTCTGAACTCTCAGCCACTGCCTGCGGAATGGACGAGCTATGGACTTAATCTGCATGGGACTTTGAACCTAGCTGAATCCTCTGGCTTGAGGACTGACATAATTTTATTGCTGTTGCTATTGTTATGTCATTAGTCTGGCCACAATGCCCCAGTTTTCTTGCACAGGGACCATTACGGAAGAAGGGGAATGGGTAGACTGTAAGGCGAGATTTCTGGAGGGGTGGCCTGTGGGTAAAATTGTAACATTTCCAGAATATCTCACCAGACTTCAGTTCATTTGCATATCCTCAGGGGTGGAGAGAAGTTCATCTCCATATCAATGGGTAATTACCTGGGCAAGGAGGGCTTATATGTACCTGAGAGGTGAGGGGATGGCCGGTTTTTGCTTCTGCTGGAGTAGGAGAGAGAACCTGCTCAGCACTGGAGTTTGTAAGCAACAAACAGGTTTTCAACTTTATTTCTCCCTTTGACTGATTTTGGTTTTTAGAGGTATTTTGCCCCAGGATTTCCTCTCCCTGGACTTACAGTCAGTCTCTTCAGAATGGACCAGAGGGATTGCTTGCAGACTGGAAGGAGAGGTGGTGAGTCTGGGGTAACTGGTGGGCTGCAGTCTTTTGAAGGGGCTCAGATCCCACCTCAGCACTGCCCCCTCGATAGGGTGGGGCAAGGCTTTCTGGGCGGTGGTCAGTCTCTCCTGTCCCTAATCCTGTTTCCTGGACTGTAGGGAGAAAGGGCTGACAGTGAAGAGGGTGTCGGTGGCTGGAGCAGGCACTTAGCCTGCTCAGGACCCCAGGGCCAGCAGCCTCGGAACATCCTTGGATGCCACATTCCATGGTGACTCACAGATGCACCTCCTGGGGCTGCAGGGGGCCCCGGAAAGGAGCTCTGAGGGAGGGACAGCATCCAGCCTGAGGAGGGGCTGGGACTGCGGGGAAAGCAGCGACTCTGTCCTGTGAGGTGGCCACAGGATCATCAGTGCCTTTCCACGAGCGGCTTGGCTGAGAGCCGACCTCTACACCATGAGGCCAGGCCAGATTCTGAGCCTTCGCTCATGGTGGTGTGAGGGATCTCACATCTCCTCCTCATCCTACCCTCCTCAGTGTGTCTGTTTCCTGGCTGCCCAGCTGTATGCTATGCCTGGACACAGGCACAGCAAGCTGACAGCTGAGGAAAGCAGCACTGCTTGGAAATAGCCCCTAATCCCCAGACAGGGCTGGGTGTCTGTGGGTGTGCTCTGCTCCTTCCTCAACCCTGGGCAGCACAGAGTCTCACACAGGCCAGTTGTGGCTGTTTGAATGTTGCACTCAGTGCTTTTCCTACCCACCTCTGCTCTTAAAGCTGGGGTCCTGGTCAGGGCCTCCCACAGGCCTGGCCTGGGGAAAGTGAGGCCCTGGTTGGAAGGTCAACTGTCCTTTTTAAAAAGGTGAGTAGCCTGGTCTTTGGGGATAATGGGAATACCAAGTCTCTTACTCACCAAGCTCTGGACAACCTAGCTGACTGGGTCAGACATGGACTCAGATCAATGTTGCCATGTCCTGGCCTGGTGGAGACCTAGAACTAGATGGCCATCGGAGAGGAAGAGTGCCTGGGCACCGCATCCCTGGAAGTGAGGGGCTGGCTGGGTCTCCCATTGGGCCAGCAGCCCTCTCCCCAGCTGAACAGGAGGAGGCTGCAGGGGAGGAGCATGGTGGTTTCCTCCTGAGCCACCACTGGCAAGTGAAGAGAAAGTCTTCAAGTAGGAGACAGTAAGGGATACAGTAAACAGACAAAACAGATGAAGGGGTGGTGAGTTCTGAGACTCAGATTTCAGTGAGGAATGGATTGCCTTCTTGCCTAGACTTCAGTTGCTCCTCAATCTCAGTGGCCCTGAGTCAGTGCCTCTGGCCCACGCCTTTCTTGAGCTTGACTCATTTGTCCAACTGCAGCCTGGATATCTCCACACAAGTCTCCAGAGCCAAACATACCATCTCTCAAGGGACTCTGCCCCTTGTCCTCTCATGTCCCGGCTGAGCACATCACCGCAGCACTGCTGAAGAACTCTCTTGCTGGCCCACACCTTCTAGAAATGTACAGACCTAAGCCTGGTCAAGATTAAGTCCCCAGTACCTCACAAGTTCTACAGCTCCTTCCCATGGGCTCTGGGTTTGAATCCTGCCACTATGTGCTCGTGCAGTTGGGTGAGTGACCCTCACTGTGCTTCATTTCTACATCTGTAGGATCAGGATAAGAGCACATGCCTCATAAGGTGGCTCTGAGGACTGAATTCAGTACTTGTGAAGCATCTAGAACAGGGCCTGCCAGAGCAAGAGCTGTTCTCAGAGGGCCCTTGCAGTGCTCCCCACTGCAGGCTGCTCTCCTCCAGAGCCTTGGATGGCATTCAAGGCTCCCTCCTGCCCCCTCCACATGCCCAAATGCCTGATGAGGGCCCACACCTTGTCATCCTCTGTCCACACTGTGCTTCGTGTCCCTGTGGCTTGTGCTGGCTTCACACTGTGGCGAAATCCCTCTCCCACTGACAGGAGCCCCTCGGGGTGGCTGAGGGAGCAGCTGAGGAGCAGCTCCTGAGTCAGCGTACCACGTTATCTCACTGATTTCCATAACCACCCTGGGAGGCAGAGCTGCTTTTTGCCTCATTTTACAGGTAGGAAACTGAAGCTCAGTGATTTTCAAGCTCAAACAGCAGGTAGTGGAGCTGGGATTAAGCTCAGGTGAGGAAGTCCCCAAAGTCCACGTGGCTCCACTGGCTTCGCACAAACCTCTCATGTCATTTAAGAGTCAAAAACAGGGGAAGGACATTTACAGGATGTGGAAATAATTCCCTCACTGCAGAACATAATTATGGTTTTGTGATGTATTCATTTAGCTAAGCTGGAACATGTTTCCAGAATTCTTGAATTTGGGTTGGTCTCAAGAGAAAGCTGTCAGAGTTGCAAGGGAAGTGAAGTGTCCGCCGCAGTTACACGGGACGGTGGGCATGAGGGCTGCTGCAGATGCTGGCTCACCTTGCTGGCTCACCTTGCTGCTGCCCCCCCGCCCCACGCAGCCTCCTTCAACTTCTCTTGGGGGGCTCTGAGGTGAGCTGTGCCATCAGGCAGTCAGCCACATCTTGGGAGGCAGAGCGGGCTGTGCGGGAGGCAGATCATCTCCACAGATTCCAGCTCCTCCTCACAGGCTCCTCCGTTCAAGACCGTCTTCCCCTCCTTCCCTGCTCTCAGCCCAGTGCCTGCTGCGGGGCGGACTCACCACAGCAGCCCATCCCTGCGCCCTGGTGTGCAAGGCCTGACCCCATGGGGAGCCCGGTGCGCCCTCTGCGGGATCGGCCTGGGTCAGCCCCTCACAGGAACAGAGACTGAGTCAATGGTTGTTCGATCAAATGAATAAACAAGTGGTTGAATAAAATAAGTATTTTGGTTGCTTTAGGCTTTAAATTTCCAAAGAACTTAAAACCAGGAGAACTCATTTTTTCCCTAAAGGATAAATTAATGTATATTACCACATTTTCCCAGCTTTTAAAAATAACATAGATGGCTCACAGTGCAGTGCTTAAATTATAGTGGATTTTGAGTCGACAGGGTTGTGACTTTTTACGTTGTTTTGTGACTTTATTTTGGGGTTTTGGTGATTGTATACCCTCCTCTGTTGGGGGCAGTGATGAAGGTGATCGACAGGAATTGGATGTTCATCCATCAGAATGGCTGCCTCGTGGCAGCCCCGTGATGCTGGGCCACTGAGTGTGAAATGGAGGAACGGCTGGCTGGGCAGCAACTACTCCTATCAGGAGATCTAAGCTAACATTCTGTCTCAGTGAAAAAGCAAGCCAAGAAAACAAAGGCGGGTGCAGAATTGCAGTCTGAAATTACTACTTGTGTAGGTAGGGCCAAGGGATTGCTCAAAATGAAGGAGAAATTCAACACTGAATTCCATATCCTACACATAGGGCTAATTTGATTTTGGAAACACCAGACAACCAAGTGGAACAAAGTCATCCTTCTCAAATGAATCTAAGTTTTGAAGTCTTTCCACTGACGTATCTTTCAGCACTGGAAGCCAGGGGTCCCTCTTTCTTGGGGGCCATGATGAATGACATGTCTGCTCCAGGCAGAGCTGAAGCACAGGCCTGGTGGGAGGTGGCTGGGACAGGCAGCCTGGTTTCCAAAGACATGGACTTTGAGGTTGGACTGTCCCTACATCCTGGTTCTGCTGCCACCTGTTTGGTCTGGAGCAAGCTACTGGCCCTTTCTGTGATTCACTGGTCTCCTCTGTGGAGACATACAGTCGGATGAGGTGTCTGGAGAGGCCCCATGCAGGCCAGGCATATCAGTGTGTTTTACTTTACTTTTATTATGGTGGTTACATAACAGCACTGTTAATATTTGAAAACAAAATTACATCCTGTTCACATCCACCTTCAATCTTTTCGATTCTCTTAGGAAGACCCAGTCTAGCTTTTCAAGGTCTCTTTACATGTTTCAGACCTTTATCCAGCAAAAGGTCCTCACCACGATATTCAAAACCTTCCCGAGAGAGCACAACAAAAAGATGGTGTCATAGGTACAGTAGTCTTTAGGATAAAAGAGAAACAAGATATAAAACCTTAATTTCCTCTAATATAGGAGACTAGAAAGATCTGCAAATCTATTTTGAAACACCATCTTTTCATATTAAACAAATCCTAGTGATTTTTCAGTTTTATTTTCCTTCCCATTATGAAATCACTCTCAGGTCTTGTGTGATTTCCAGACAGTGCTATGGCTTGGAGCTCTCATACAGGCAGGCCAGTTTGGCTAGGGACACGGGCTTTGGAAGCTCACCCACCCCTCCCGGCGTACACTGCTCCCCCAGGGACCCCCAGGGATGGAGCACACGGAGGCTGGCAGTCAAGTCCATTTGCACAAGGGCTGTGTGCCGCAGAGCCTTTTCTCCAAGGGCAATTCCAACATTTGGGCAGCCGCCTGGCTTTAGTCGCGCCTTGTCCAAGAACATTATGATCTCAATCCCTGCTAGCTCACTTTAGGATCTTAACACCCCCAGGAGCCTCCCAGGCCACAGGGGGGAGAGGGAGGCACAAAGTAGTTCCTCGCATCCTGGACCTTCCCCAAATGAAAGAGGGAGGAAGAACAGGAATTGGGCCTCAGGCCTTTGTGGGTGGTCAGTGGCAGTTAGCATCACTTGGCAGGGGGCCGTGACAAGGTCATGCAGTTAGCACAGTGCATGGGGAAGAGGTGCCTGAACACTGCCGAGAGGCCAGGCAGTGTCCCTCTGCCTGGCATAGTTCCTGATTTGGGCAATGACAGGAACATAGATGTGAGGCATGAAGAGGAATGAAACTGACCACTGAGTATGTGGCATGTTTTTCTTTAGTCAGTCTTTATTTAAATGTGTACTTTTGAAATAGCTTATTAAATATGACCTTTTCAAAATTCGATTCTCACAATGTTTACAGTGAATTCTGTGCAAACATATTTTGACTGTGAGCTTCTTAATTCCTCATTTCCATTAATAAGTTACAAATTTGTATTAGAGAAAACCCCAGCTACTTCATTTATTTCCTCTTAGGCTCTAGGTTTCTGTTTGACATGTACTAAGCTAGGATAAGGGGTTGCTAGGGAACAGCTAATTCAAGCCCAGAGGAAATGTGTTTTATTTATCCAAAAAGAATTGTAACAAGGCCTTGCTTTCCAACTGAAAAGATGTGTCTCCTGATGTTGTGCAACAGTATTAAGCAACCAAATAAATTTTCAATGATTATTGTGCCTTCTTTTTTTACATTTACACTCCTCTCTTCTAACCAAATAGGCAAAACCAGGAAAATAAAATTCTAAGAGTCTCTGGACTGTCAGGGAATGTTAGAAAAATAATCTGGCTTCAGTGACTAATGAATGAAGGTCATCAGATGGGCAGCTGGCCGACCGTCCTGTGAGCATTGGCCCCAGTGCCATGAGAAATCTTGCAGGTCCCACACTACCTGCCTCAGGGCTCCATGCTGGGCACAGAAGAACACGAACTTGTGCCTCAGCCAGGAAGGGTGACACCTTGCCAGGTAACTCTACAGAAGGCACTGATCCTGGAGAGGGATCTTTCCCATTTGGGTGCAGAAGTAACTGACCAAAGAATACAGCACCCAGTATTGTAAAAAGTGAGAGTTCACATGGAAGGTGTCAGCTCATGATTTGCCACAAAATTATGAAAAAAATAAATAAGTGTACCTTTAATGTTTTGTAAATACAGCTTTAAAATTCCACTTTATACACTTGATGTATGAAAACAAGCCTGATTTTTTGTTGTTTCATGACTTTTTAAAAGAACACAAATTAACTCCTTAATCATTCTATGTGGAAGACAATATTTGGGAAAAAATTTTGTAGGTTTTCTACCTTTTCACTGAAGACTTTGATGGGACATTAGAGTGATGGTTAATTAGAAAATAAACTGAAAAAATAATTTTTAATCATTTGAGAATTTTTTAATGCATTTAATCATTATCCTTCCCAATGGCAATGTTTCCTTATGTATAAAAGTGATCTGAAGACCTGTGCAACCCTCTGGACCCATGGTTTTGTACACATGAGGCATCCCTGTGCAATGATTCCTACTCTAAAACACACTTTAGCCATAAACAACTTTTCCCATAATGACAATTATGAATGAAATATTCCAGTCACTAAGCCTACAGAAATCAGTGTGAAGCAGCAGTGACTCTATGTGGAGCTGTGGTTCTTAACCATCCGTCCCAGGTTCTCGATGGGCAGGTCATACCCCATAGGCCCTCTCTGCCCTATGACCCTTGCTAATCCATCCTATTTTTACATAGTGGGCTCCATGCTAACCCAACTATAGGTTGGGGGGTGGAGGGCACCAGGAGTCAGGCATGCTGAGGAGATCTGCTGGGATGGAATGCGGGACTGTGAGTAGTAAAGAGAGCTGAGTTGGGAGGGGGCACTGATTCCCTAGGGAGTTAGTTACAGTCAAAAGAGGTGGGTAGAGAACAAGCACATGTGATAACTGAAAACATGAATCTTATTTTCTCACATCTTTCAGGGCTTTAAGAAATCTGTCTAAATGCAGGCAGGCAAAACTGTTTTGTGCCTCTTATCCTTGGACCCAACCCTCCTCTGAGAACTTCATCCTTCTTGAGGACTCAGTGAGCCCCTCACTTGGGCTCCTACTGAGTGGCTTGTGGTGACTGAGGCATCAGGTCTGCAACCCCAGGGCTCTGCTGCCCTTCCTCAACAAAGAGTTAAAATTGCTTTTCTCAATGTCTAATAGGATGGCTCTCATTTCATATAAATAATCACAGATTTGATTAAAATGATTATTCTAGGCTAATTATTTTTTTCATTCTGATGTTTATATTCCATCTACCTTGAACAATGAATTGAGAAAAAAATAAGCATCTGAAAAGCCTTCCCAAGAACAATGACTTTTTGAAATGACACTTTTTATAGAAACTGAATAAATGAGATGGTGACAGCAGCAGGAAACTGGTGGGACCTTCAGGGGACTGCTTTCTTCAAGTCTCGAATCTGTTTAATCAAGTAGTTCTTCTCATCAGTGAACTGCTCATCATCCATCCTTTCTTTATGGAAACTGCTCAGAAACTCAATGAGTTTGGGTTGATTTTTTAATAGAATCTCCACAATAGGCTGTGCTTTGTGAGGACTGGCCACAAACACCTGAAATATAAAGAAATAAACCCCTAGGACCTGTGAGCAAGTGAGGGATGGCTCGGACCCGCCTGTGCTCCACACACTGCTGTGTTAGGATAGGAAGCCCTGGTTACACTCCTCTTTGAGGAAAATGAGTCATTCCCCATACATACCCATTTACTTGGTAGCTTGCCAGCACATCAGAGCTATGTGTGAATATTTTTTACTTGTACTTTTTTTTAAAATTGTGGTATCATTAATCTACAGTTACATGAGGAGCATTATGTTTACTAGGCTCCCCCCATCACCAAGTCACTCCCACAAACCCCATTACAGTCACTGTCCATCAGCATAGTAAGATGCTATAGAGTCACTACTTGTCTTCTCTGTGCTGCACAGCCCTCCCCGTGCCCCCCATTACACATGCTATTCGTAAGGCTCCCTTTCTTTGTCCCCCCTTATCCCTCCCTTCCCCCATCCTTGTACTTTGTTTTAATTTTAAATATTTATGTGTTTTCAACTACACGATCTTTCAGAGAATAATACCATAGCAGACACCAATTGCCACACAAATTGAACAGATTTTGCCATTTTACTTCAAATCTCTCTTTTAAAGAAATAAAACATTACAAGTGGAGCCAAACTCTCCCCATTCACCTCTCTCTACCGCCTGAGCAGCATGCGACCATCTCCAGGCACAACTTCATCCTTGTCCTTCTATTGCATGCATATTTAAAAATAAACAACATACAGTGTTTGGGTGTGCCTTTTTAATAATCTATTTTTTGAACAGGTAATATATTTATCTGGCTCAAAATTCAAAAAGAACAAAGGTGAAAAGCCCCAGAGTACCTTCCCCCACTGGAGGTCACCAATGTTACTATTTTCTGTATATGTGGAGTTTTAAAATGTACAAGTGCCCAAGCCTCACATTGCAGAGTCCAGCTCAGCAGATCTGGGATGGAGGTCTGGCATTCTGCATTTTTACAAAGTTCCACAAAAATTCTTATGTGCGCTTCTGATTAAAGCTGCAATCACAGACTATTAACTCAGCTATACTAACTATAAAAGACAGCAGTGACTATAATAATAGGACACAATAACTCAAAGCTATAATACTGATTGGTAAATTTCTCGATGAACACGTTTCCAAGTCAGATGTTATCTAGAGGATGACATGGCCAGAGCACCCATACAAGTACCTGATCCCTACGCAACTCTGCTTCCATGTTCGGCCTCCTGACTCCTCACAGAGGGCTGAGTGCTTCACCTCAGCCCAATGCTTCCCTCCTATTCCATACTGCTAGCAGCGCACACTCTACTCGGGACACACTAAGGACAAGGACCAGTTATGGAATCGGGGGGGCTACGAGGTTGAACCCTCAGGTTTCCTCCAGTGCAGAAAGTGTGAGAAAAGAGAAAATACACAGGATGTTAAGGATCTAAGAGAGGGGAATGAAAAGCTAGGGAGGGTCAGAAGAGGCAGGCATATTGTCATACTTCTGGGTCTTGAACAGGAAGGGCCCATGTTGCAGGTGGCATGAACTAGTCCCTCAGTCTTATTTTCTATTTCTTCTTGAATCAGTTTGGTAATTTGTATGTTCTTAGGAATTTGTTCACTTTTATCTATGTTATCTAGTTTGTTGGAGCACAGTTATTTGAAGTATGCTATTATAAACTTTTTTTTATTTCTATAAGGTGATTAAACTGGCCATCAAAAACCTCCCAACAAAGAAAATCCCAGGACCAGATGCCATTACTGGTACCTTCTACAAGCTATTTCTTATTTCTCATTAATTAATAAATTTATTTATTTATTGTTGGCATCATTAATATGCACTTACATGAACAACATTTTGGTTGCTATACTGCTTCCCATGCCTCCCCCTCACATATGTGTGCCAATCATAATGTCCTTTTTACCCCTTATCCCTTCCTTCCCACCCATCCTCCCCAGTCCCTTTCCCTTTGGTAACTGTTAGTCCATTCTTGGGTTCTGTGATTCTGCTGCTGTTTTGTTCCTTCAGTTTTTTCTTTGTTCTTATACTTCATAGATGAGCGAAATCATTTGATACTTGTGTTTCTCCACCTGGCTTATTTCACTGAGCACAATACCCTCGGGCTCCATTCATGTTGTTGCAAATGGTAGGAATTGTTTTCTTCTTATGGCTGAATAAAATTCCATTGTGTGTATGTACCACTTCTTCTTTATCAGTTCATCTACTGAAGGACACTTACGTTGCTTCCATTTCTTGGCTATTATAAAAAGTGCTGCAATAAACATAGGGGAGCATATGTCTTTTTCAAGCTGGGCTCCTGCATTCTTAGGATAAATTGCTAGGAGTAGAATTCCTGGGTCAAATGGTATTTCTATTTTTAGTTTTTCAAGGAACCTCCATACTGCTTTCCACAAATGGGAGAACTAATTTACTTTCCCACCAGCAGTGTAGGAAGGCTCCCCTCTCTCCACATCCTCGCCAACATTTGTTGTTGTTTGTCCTTCGGATGTTGGCCATCCTAACTGGTGTGAGGTGACATCTCACTGTGGTTTTACTTTGCATTTCTCTGATGATTAGTGATGTGGAGCATCTTTTCACATCTTGGCCATCTAAATTTCTTCTTTGGAGAAGTGTCTGTTCAGATCCTCTGCCTATTTTTTAATTGGGTTAACTGCTTTTTGTTTGTTGAGGTGCATGAGCTCTTTGTATATTATGGATGTCAACCCCTTATCGGATACGTCATTTATGAATATATGCTGCCAAACTGTAGGATGCTTCTTTGTTCTACTGATGGTGTTCTTTGCTGTACAGAAGCTTTTTAGTTTGATATAGTCCCACTTGTTCATTTTTGCTTTTGTTTCACTTTCCCAGGGAGATATGTTCATGAAGAAGTTGCTCATGTTTATATTCAAGAGAGTTTTGCCTATATTTTCTTCTAAGAGTTTTATGGTTTCATTATTTACAGTCAGGTCTTTAATCCATTTTGAGTTTACTTTTGTGTATGGGGTTAGACAGTAATCCTGTTTCATTCTCTTACATGTAGCTGTCCAGTTTTGCCAACACCAGCTGTTGAAGAGGTGTCATTTCCCCATTGTATGTCCATGTCTCCTTTATCGTGTACTAATTGACTATATATGCTTGGGTTAATATCTGGACTCTCTACTCTGTTCCATTGGTCTGTGGGTCTGTTCTTGTGCCAGTACCAAATTGTCTTGATTACTGTGGCTTTGTAGTAGAGCTTGAAGTTGGGAAGTGAGATCCCCTCTGCTTTATTCTTCCTTTTCAGGATTGCTTTGGTTGTTTGGTGTCTTTTGTGTGGTTCCATATGAATTTTAGAACTATTTGTTCCAGTTTGTTGAAGAATGCTGTCAGGATTTTGATAGGGATTGCATTGAATCTTTAGATTGCTTTAGGCAGGATGGCCATTTTAACAATATTAATTCTTCCTACCCAAGAGCATGGGATGGATTTCCATTTTTAGTATCCTCTTTAATTTCTCTTAGAAGTGTCTTATAATTTTCAAGGTATAGGTCTTTCACTTCCTTGGTTAGGTTTATTCCTAGGTATTTTATTCTTTTTGATGCAATTGTGAATGGAATTGTTTCCTGATTTCTCTTTCTTCTAGATCATCATTAGTATATAGGAATGCAACAGATTTCTGTGTATTGTATCCTGCAACTTTGCTGAATTCAGATATTAGTTCTGGTACTTTTGGAGTGGATTATTTAGGGTTTTTTATGTACATAATATCATGTCATCCACAAAGAGGGACAGTTTGACTTCTTCCTTACCAATCTGGATGCCTTTTATTTCTTTGTGTTGTCTGATTGCCATAGCTAGGACCTCCAGTACTATGTTGAATAAAAGCAGGGAGAGTGGGCTTCCTTGTTTTGTTCCCAACTTTAAAGGAAAAGATTTCAGCTTCTCACTGTTAAGTATGATGGTGGCTGTGGGTTTGTCATATATGGCCTTTATTATGTTGAGGTACTTGCCCTCTGTACCCATTTTGTTGAGAGTTTTTATCATAAATGCATGTTGAATTCTGTTGAATGCTTTTTTAGCATCTATGGAGATGATTGTGAGGTTTTTATCCTTCTTTTTGTTGATGTGCTGGATGATGCTGATGGATTTTTGAATGTTGTACCATCCCTGAGATGAATCCCACTTGGTCATGGTGTATGATCCTCTTGATGTATTTTTGAATTCGGTTTGCTAATATTTTGTTGAGTATTTCTGCATCTATGTTCATCAGGGATGTAGTTTTCTTTTTTTTGTGGTGTCTTTGCCTGGTTTTGGTATTAGAGTGATGCTGGCTTCATAGAATGAGTTTGGAAGTATTCTTTCCTCTTCTATTTTTTGGAAAACATTAAGGAGGATGGGTATTGGGTCTTCTCTGTAAGTTTGATAAAATTCAGCGGTGAATCCATCTGGCCTGGGAGTTTTGTTCTTAGGTAGTTTTTGTTTTTTTGTTATCATTAATCTACTATTACATGCAGAACATTATCTTTACTAGGTTCTCCCCTTCAACAAGTTCCCCCCACAATCCCCATTACAGTCACTGTCCATTAGCATAATAAGATGCTGTAGAATCACTACCTGTCTTCTCTGTATTGTCCAGCCCTCCCCATGCCCCGCCCCCCACACTTGGGTAGTTTTTGATTGCCGATTCAATTTCATTGCTGGTGATTGGTCTGTTTAGACTTTCTGTTTCTTCCTTGGTCAGTCTTGGAAGGTTTTATTTTTCTGGAAAGTTGTCCATTTCTTCTAAGTTATCCCCTTTGTTAACATACAGATTTTCATAGTATTCTCTAATGATTCTTTGTATCCATCGTCGTGATTTTTCCGTTCTCATTTCTTATTCTGTTTATGTGTGTAGATTCTCTTTTTTCTTAATAAGTTTGGCTACGGATTTATCTATTTTGTTTATTTTCTCAAGAACCAGCTCTTGTTTTCATTAACTTTTCTGTATTGTTGTATTTTTCTCAATTTTACTTATTTCTTCTCTGATCTTTATTATGTCCCCCCTTC